ACTGACACGAGAGCACAGACACGTGAGCAACAAGAAAAAAGAACGTCAATCCAATCAAAGCTTAACAAGAGAAAAACGGTACCACCACCATAGTAATCAATCTGGAATTTTGTGACCCCCCGAACACGATCCCTGAACAGCAGCCACGACCCGACCCCCTCCCTCAAATCCCATTTCACCGATCCCACCCCCCCCCACCCCCCCCCCCCCCCCCCCCCCCCCCCCCCCCCCCCCCCCCCCCCCCCCCCCCCCGTCCCTCGTCACAACCCAGACTTCCGATCACCACTACAGCCGCAGCACAGAATGGCGACATCAGCACCGGTAACATTCCAACGCCGCTTCTCCTCAGTCGTAGCGGGCAACTCCAAAAACGCAAATAAGATCAACCAATCGAATGGCCCACTAGTCGATCACGAAACCGTGCGTTTCCTGCTGGAACAACCTCAAATCAAAGGCGAGAAAGTGATTAAGAAAGTTCAGCAGGATGGGGAAGAAAAAGAAATCACGGTTTGGTGTTACCCAAAAGAAAAAATCGAAACAACCAATGTCATGTACTCAAAACACAGGTTAGTCTTCACCTTCTCCAACACAGGCGCTCGCCTCCCAGAGATCGAGAAACGAAAATGGATCACGAGAACAATACAGGGTCATGAAAACCTCAGATCCAGCACGGACAAATTCTCGATCCTGGTACTCAGCAGAAACATGATGATGGTAATCTTCAAAGATGCTGACCAGGCATCAAATCTAATCAGCGGGCACACCACCTTGAACTGCAATGGGTCAGTATGCTCCCTATCCAGATGGAAACAGGAGACTGCTCAGAAAGCCACCATCTCCCCGGCGACAGCACAGAAACAGAGACTCATGAGGGACCAATTCTGGGTCCAGTTCGACAACATCCCCATAAGGGGCCATCCACTTATTAAGGACCGTCTGGAGGTGGAGTACCCAAACAACAAAGTGTTGAAATGGGTGCTCCCCACACCTGACTTCCTCGCCCCTCATTGTGACTCCATCACAGCAGTGTTGGAAGTGAATTCCGAAACGAACCCAGAATTCCCGGAAGAATGGGAGTTCTGCATCGGGGAGGAAACATCATCAGTCACAGTGTCAACCAAAGACGCCCCGATCTGTTTCAGATGCAGAGAAAGAGGACACCTGGGCACTGACCCAGCCTGTCCGAGATCCCCTGAACACTCGAAAGAGAAGAAACTGAGACAGAACATGCTGGTGGAAGTAGAAGAAGCCAAAGGTATCTGGTTCGTCAACGACCAGGACTACAATGGCTGGGTCTTCGACGACACCATCAAAGATCCAAAATGGATCTGGACTTACAACACGGAAACAGCAGCAAAACAGCCAGATATCTTCCCTCCATCAGACAACAGATGGCATGCAGTGGGAGCAAAGAAGGTAACAGGGATACCAGGGAAGATCCACCTGGACGAGATCATCGACCCACGAGCAATCAGGGAAGAGAAAAAACATGAGGTTGGAGACGATCCGGATCCAGACAGCAGAATTATGCCAAAACACCAACCTGGACAACATCACGTTGATACAAGCAGCCAAAAAGACTCTCGAACACCGCCACCCCAAAGCTGAGATCCCCCCCGTTCTCAAACGGAACGCCTCCCCCTCCTCCAAAGAGAACCAAAATGACAGAGCAGGAAAGAAGAGGAGGGCTACTGAGGAGGTTTCGGACAAAATGCACAAACCCGACCAACTCCCCACAGACGACAAGCTACCCGGGACAGACCCGGGATCTCCAGCAGCCTCGCAGACAGGAACGGACACTTCCCCAGACAAGTTGAGCCCCATTCCGTGGCTCGAGGAGTACCTGCAGAAAGCAAAGTACGAGAGGGAGAAGGAATTCAACGTCAGACTGGCCCGCATGAAACACCTGGAGAAGACGGGGAAGCCGGCCACGGGTAAAACAGTGGCAAGAATCCCCCACTCCAAGAACCATTTTGACCTGCTACGCATGAAATCTGAACTCTCGGAGTTCAGTGCGTTCAGGTACTATGAAAAGAAGAGAGAGAGAGATTCGGCAGGAACGGAGACGGGCACAGGCTTCGACCCACGAGCATCAGCGGACTCTATCCGCGACATGGTTTCCAAAAACTGGAAACCGTCCAAGGGAAGAGACAAGAGACCAAGGGCCCCCCCCAAAGACGAGGCCGGAAGCAAGAACGAGCAGCGCCGTCTCACACAGGCGATTGCAACAGTGGCAGCGCAGACCAAGCGGTTGTTTGACCAAAATATGGACTACAAAAAGAGCAAGGGGAAAAGTTCATTACAGTCCGTATGATAGCAGAAAACAAAGCGCCCAGCATCACCAAATCAGCAACAGCGGACAGGGCGACAATCAGGGCAGTGAGACCTCTAATCCCAGTCCGGTTCAGAAGCAAATTCAACGAGTGGCAGGTGGCCACAGACGCAGCCTTCGCAGTCCCCACCCTCGACGAGGACAGAGCCCTGGCGAAGAACATCAGGGAGAACATCTCGGCAGACACCGCGCTGGGGGTGTATGGACTCCCTCCACGGGAAATGCCAATCGAAGGAAAAATGTTGGATGAGCCAATCCTGACCCCCTTCGACCCCATCCTGGTCAAGCTCGATGAAAAGGCAAAACTCAGCGAGGGCTTGACATGGAGGGCATGGGACACTATCAAAATGCTCCCGCACAATGTACTGAACAGAAGATTCAGCACGACTGACATCATCGCCGACTCGCTGGCAGACATCATCAGAACCCACCTCTTGACATCCAGGACTTCGCTGCAAGACGAGGCGACCCCCATCTACGTGGAGATGGGGAATGATGAAATGGACATGGAAAACGAAGAAGAAGAGGACTTTGGTTTGGGAGACGATCTCTCCCCAGGGGGAGAGGACGAGGTGCTGCACCCGGCAATAGAGAGCAGCGCGGGGGAATACAGCATGGGCACCACATCCTCGAAGGAGGACAACAGAGACTCGGATTCCGAGAGCAGCAAGGCCCAGGCTGCAGCAGACTAAAAACACTTTAAAATTAGTAAAACATCACCCCACAGACCAAACGAACTAACAGCAACTGATAATAAGAAAGTAACCAGGAGGAGAAAAGGAGGAGGAAAAAAAAAAAAAAAAAAAAAAAAAAGTGATCAATGCAGAATCCCACAAGAAGCAGGAACGGGCAGGAAAGCCCACCTAGGATAAACTGGCATGCTAAGGGGCTTCAGATAACGTCAATGGTTTGGGAAATACGCTAACTGAGGAAGACAAACTCAGGGACATCCGAATAGGCCTGGTGAATAAGGATCTTTCCAAACCGGACATTATACTTCTCCAAGAGACCCATCTGTCTAATCTGAACAAGCACTCGGAGATACAACAAAGATTGGAAAGAACAATAGGGGGATGTGCTTTCGCACTATGGTCCAACAAAGAAGGACAGAGCAACAAAGGGACGGCGATACTCATCCTGAAAACATCCAAAATTCTAACCGAGGGACAAATCCTGAACAACGAGGGCGACAGTGAGGGAGGAAGGTGGTCCTGGGTAGACATCAAATGGCAAGAGGAAGAGATGAGAATTCTCAACCTTTACGCACCTAACACAGAATCCGACAGACTGACTTTCCTCGAGAACATCAAGACTATCATCCCCAACCCACAGCCTATTGTCATCGCAGGGGACTAGAACACAACCTTGGACCCAAACATGGACCGGATCTCAAGAGCAGCACTAATGGGACCCACAAGAGCAGGAACCCTGATTTGAAATCTGATGACAGAGTTCGAACTCATCGATCCTCTCAGATCGCTGCACCTGGAAAAAAAGGTGCTCTCCCGGATAAGGAAAAACCAAGAAAACCGGACATCCCTGTCTAGGATAGATTATTTCCTCATCTCCGAGAGCCTACTTGGCACAGTCAAAGAGGCCGAAATCCTCCCCTCGGCAGCCTTTAAAGGGCTAGACCACAAACCCATCCAACTGCTGCTCAACTTCAATTTACCAATGGATACAGGTCAGGGTTTCTTCAGGCTGAATAACTCTCTCCTCAAAACCGAAAGAATGGCCTCGGCAGTCAGAGAAAATTGGGCCCTCAACAAACAGAGAGAGAGTCCAAAGAAACAAACAGCCATCAATGGTTCATCGACAGCTACTATCAATTATCACAGACAGTATCAGCGGAATCCCGAAATACCGCCAGAGACCGCAAGAGGAGAAGAGAAGAACTCCAACTCGCAATAGCTGTTGCAGAAGCAAACTTGGCGGAAGACCCCTCCAGTGGATTCTACCAAGAGCTACTAGACGACACCAAAGACAAATTGAACGAGTGGAGAAGATGGGAGCTGAGAGGATTGCAGATCCGCGCGAGGATGACAGATTACGCACTCAATGAATCAATGACAAAGTTCTTCTTCTCCAAAATCAAAGCGGACGCAAGGAACAACATGATAGAGGCTATCCAAGATCCAACAGATCCAGGACACACTAAAACATCAGGCCCCGAGATGGTAAGGATAGCCAGGTCATTCTACGCAGACTTATACGAGTCCAAGACACCGACACCCCCGAGCACAGCAAACACAACAGCTCGCCAACTCATGCTCTCGTATCTTGACAGAACCATCTCGACCGATCAGGCGGAAGGCCTGGACAAGCCACTGACCCTGGCCGAACTACACACATCCCTGACGCAGATGGGAAATGACAAAGCCCCGGGTATCGACGGACTCTCCAAAGAATTCTGGAGCTGCTTCTGGCCGATCCTGGGAGAAGACCTGCTCGACTTCCTCAATGAAAGCATGCGCAAAGGAGGCCTAGGAAAAGAAATCAGCACCAGMGTGGTCTCACTACTGTACAAGAAAGGAAACAAAGAAGACTTGAAAAACTACAGACCCATATCTCTACTGACCACGCCCTACAAAATCCTAGCGAAGGCACTCGCAAACAGAATCACGAAGTTAACAAACAGTTGCTTTCACATCGACCAAGCARGCTTYATCCCAGRCAGGTACATTTTGGATAACGTTATGAYCCTGAACGAGGCAGBAAAAAAGATMACAGAAAAACGAATGAAAGCTGCAATCCTGTTCTTCGATTTTGAGAAAGCCTATGACCAGGTTAACTGGGATTTCCTCCACTCATGCATGGAGAAAATGGGGGTGGGCCCGAACTTTAGGAATTGGGTTAGAGTGTTATACCCCGATGCAACAGGCAGAGTCCAGGTCAACAGAATCCTTTCCGATACCTGCCCAATCTCACGATCAGTCAGACAAGGGGACCCATTGGCTCCGCCCATATTTCTCTTCATTATGGAAGCCATAGCCTCCTTCCTCCACAAAGACCCATCCATTGATCGCCTCACAGAACGAAACTTTAACCCACTACACGACTTCAACCTTCCCACTGCACTCATGTTCGCCGACGACCTCACTGTTCTCATCCGCGCCAGTAACAACTCCTTCCAAGCTCTAGTGAGTGCAATGGAAGCTTTCAGACTAGCGTCAGAGATGAGGGTTAACTGGAACAAAACTGAAGGGTGGTGGCTAGCAGACGACACCCCTCCCCAACCAGCAGACACAACCACAACCATGACATGGACTACGGGAGAACAAGCACTAAGATTCTTGGGCATTATGATTAACAAGGAAGGGGTATGGCCAGGAATGGGCCAGAACCTAATTGCTAGGGCAATCACCCGCCTGGCCCAATGCAAAAAAGCTCAGGCCTCTCTAATTGGACGGGCGATGTTAATTAACACAGCAATCTTCTCCACACTGTGGTATATGGCATCCATCTGGTCCCCCCCTGACGAYGACATCAAAAAGYTGAAGAAYAGGGTGAGATGCTACCTGTGGACAGGCGATCCTAACAGGACCACTTGCATCAATAAGGTAGCTTGGAACCACATCACCAGAAGACCTCAGGAAGGGGGCCTCGGAATCATCGACCCCAAACAAGAATCCATAGYWYTGCAGATGAAGTGGATCATCAAGGTCCTGATYAGTCAGTTCCTCCCATGGACTCAGATGGYGMTAGACAGTATCAGAAACCTAGCCCCCATCATCTCCCCCCCAAACATGGATGGACGGTTTTGGCTCATGGCTAAGGATTGGTCAATAAAATCGAGCAGGCCACGCAGGAGTAACCCCGCACAGCCTACAAACCCCACTCTAACAGTCAGTTCATAGTGGACTCCCACCATCAAAGCCTGGCGTAGAATGATGCCAAGCAAACACGGGGCACCAGGAAATAGAGAAGAGGTTCTGAGACAACCCCTCTTCTGCAACCCCTGGATCACCGACCCCAGCGGCGCGGAATGGACCCTACGCCCCAGAGACCGTAGGTGGCTATCTTGGGTTGAAAAAGGGGTGTGGCAAGTCAGACACATCTGGGAAGAAGACCAAGGACGTTGGACCACTGATCAGGAACTACGCAATGTCCTCAAAGGCTGCCACTCCCTCCCCGAAAACTTAACATGATCCAAAATAGCATCCTGTCACACTGGCTCCCCCTCCTAAGGGAGGACTTCTCGTGGAAATTAGGGGACTGGGGTGTACTAATATCCGAAACCCAACCTACCCGAGCGTACAGATTCGTCGCTAGAATCAACCCATCGGGATACCTATCCAAGTTCTACTCTTACCCCGTAGC